AAAAAAAATAATTTCATTGAATTATTTAAATGTCTCATTTTTTAAAAGGTGGAAGATTTTTTTCTAAAATGAGCATTTAGTACTATAAATATCCCTCAAAGAACAGTTGTTCTTAGAAATGCTGATGTACTTTCTAATTTCCTGTATTGTCTTTTTTTGATGACTTATCTTTTCCCATGCAAGATGTGATTTTTGTGATATTTCATATACCTAGTGATTTTGCACTTTGTCCTGAGCATTTTAAATATCCTAAGACTGATTCTTGTGTAAATGTCATGTAAAATGTTGATACTTTTTCTTCTTGCAAGTACTTTTGTTAGGTAAGGTAAAGGTTGCAGGTCCTTCTACAGACTGTGTTCCAAACTAGATAACACTTTTCATGTGGGCATGTCCAGTTTGGGACCTGAACAGAAATCTGTTAGTACAGTTCTCAAAGTCTTTGTTATGCTAATTAGAATTAGATCAATAATGTGCAGGTCACAGGTGAGTTCAATTTTATGAGGTTACTTGCTTGGTCCCCTCACTTTCTTCTGTCTTTCCAGTACTTTTGATTCCCTGGAGTTCCCCATTTAAGTCCTCTGGCTACAATCCTTCTTTAATTTGCACTGTCAAGAACCTGCTGACTTCCACAATTGTCTCCAGCAATGGGAAAATGGGGGATGGGGAGAATGGCACCAGAGTTTGTCTCTGCTCTTTTGGAGTCATACTTTCTCTGAATGGGAGGGAAGACTTCCTCAGAGTTTTGAGTCATAGCATTTTGTTTTCATTCATTTGCTGCTGCCACTGCCTTTTTAAAAAATATGTTTTTAAGTTATAGATGGGCACAATATCTTTATTTTTATTTTTATTTTTATGTGGTGCTGAGGATCGAATCCAGGGTCTCACACGTACAAGGCAAATGCTCTACCACTGAACTACAACCCCAGCCCCTGCTTTTTGTGACCAGAGTTACTGGGGGCTTCCATGCAAGGAAATAAAGAAAAAAGGAGAGAGGAAGGAGGAGGAGAAGAGAGAAATGATGTGTACTTTTATCCTGGAAATAAAATAGAAAGATAATCAAAATATCAACAGTTTTATTTCAATGGTTAAGAAATGCATATGTAAACTAGGAATGTAGCTCAGTGGTACTCAGTGTTTCAGAGATTCCATTTTTTTGCTCCATAAGCCAGGACCAGAGAGTTCCCCTGTTTTRAGGTTTGTTGAGTGAGTTCAGGTCAGAGGAAATCAGGAAAAGGAACATTTTGACCGGTTCTGTAGTGCTTCAATTTCTGGTGTTCTTTGATTCACTCCAAATAGCTGTGCCATTTGTTCTATTTAGATTTTAAAGCTGTGTTTCATGGAAAAGAAAGTTTTTCATGTGTTCACTCCATCTTACCAGGAGTCAACCCATTTATCTTTATTTAGATCTCTGCTTTATTKACTTTTGCAGTGTTTTTGTTTTTGCTTCCTCCCAACACACTCGCTGGGCCTGAAATCAGAGTTTCTAATCACTCAGTATCCTTTGGGGCAGATAATTCCTATATAAAGGGAATCTTTATTACTGCCCTTTCACCAGAGAAGTAAATTCCTGCTTAATGTTAACTTGCTTACCACTCCATTTCAAACAAAATTTCATCTCCCTGTCATCTGATGGTTGGTTGATTACTGAAATTCTACAGTCAGTTCTACTAGAACATGACCATAGTTGTACCCCTAAGACTTATCGTTCTATACAAAATCCTAAATAAAATCTTGGAGTTAGGATGTGAGCATTTTGGCCACCATGTGGTTTAAATGAATTTTTTGATGCAATAAAATTGAATATGTATTTTAAAAAATCACAAACAAACAAAAAAAACCCTTGGGAGTTTACAGAAAACTGGGGTTCTCTAGCACTCAAAAACTTTATCGGCTAAAAAAATTAAAAAGATCAAAATGACAGCACAGTTTTATTCACATCAGTAGTTCAAGAGCACATACATGAACTGGGGATGCAGCTCAGTGGTACAGTGCTTGTCTAGCATGCATGAGGACCTGGATACAATCCCCAGCACCAAAAAACAACAACAAAAAAGGCATATGTGTGATAATAAATTTGGCGCTTTACCTGTGTGAAGCATAGCAGTCATAGGAAGGGTAGCAGCTTGTGAGTTATTGTGAAGTGGTAGAGGAAGGGTCATTTGAAATCTGACAGTTGTAAAACCGGATGTGCATGGATATGGCTCATAACACGATAAAGACACTGATAGATGTTAGGGCATGTCCTTGTGTGATTTGTGTATACCTATGCAGCATGTCTTAGCTGGCTGCAATTTTTATACCTACCTAGCTTGCTTGCTTGCTTTCTTTCTTTCTTTCTTTCTTTCTTTCTTTCTTTCTTTCTTTCTTTATTTATTTATTTTTATGTGGTGCTAAGGATTGAACCTCACACATGAGAGGCGATCTCTCTACCACTAAATTACAACCCCAGACCTGGTTTTTGCATCCACACAAGCGCTTTTCTAGGATAAAACTGCACATCAACAAATAGGAAATTTGTGTTGTGCTAGTATTATTTCTTAATATACCAGTCATATTGAAACAAGTTTTCATCTTTAGAGTGTGCCATAGAACTGACTGTACATAATTTTATTAATTTCTTTCTTACTCTCCTATATCTACTGAATTTTCAACTCTTGATTTTTTCCTTCCAAGTTCTTATATTCAGAGTTTCACATATCTCACATTTTCCTTTTACTCTTAAAAATTATTTTTTATTTAATAGGTTTGTTTCATGAGCCTCCTAAATGGTCTACCTCTAATACATATCACATATTGCTGCCAGACTTATTTTTCACACATACTCACACACACAAATAGATAAACACTATAGAAAGAATAAATACACATTTTTAAAAGTTAGATTGGTTCACCACCCTTAGTCATATATTGTGAATATTCTTTCTTGTCAGTATATGTACATATAGGTCTATAGCATCATTGTTTTATTGTAAAATACACATAATGACTTACTATTTAACCACTTTTAAATGTACAGGTCAGTGGTGTTAAGTATGTTCACACTGTTGTTCATTCATCACCACCATCCATCTACAGAACTTCTTCATCTTCCAAAACTGAATCTTTGTACCATTATATAGCATCATTCCCCCCCCCCCCCCCCCACTACTGAGGATGAACCCAGGGTCCTGCATATGAACTTGCCATCCTCCTGCCTTAGCCTCCTAAATCACTGGGATTACAAGCCTGGGCATTTAGATGTAATTTAAACATTTTTWAAAAAATATTTTTTGGTTGTCAATGGACCTTTATTTTATTTATATGCAGTACTGAGAATTGAATCCAGTGCCTCATACATACTAGGCAAGTGCTCTACCACTGAGCTACAATCTCAGCCCCAGTTTAAATATTTTTAAAGACTGTGGGGAATATAATTTCCTTCCACAATCCCTATTATACTTTTGGATTTATTTTCTACTACAAATATTATTTTTCATAATACTCAGATCTCTTGTGTATATTTCCGCAGGACAAATTTCCACATGTATTATTTCCACAGGACAGATTCCTAGAAATGGGATTTGCTAGGGCACACAGGAGGAATTAGTACAGGTTCTTCCATTTTACACTGTGTAAGAGGTGGGGAAACAGATTCTGGGCATCTGTAGTATGTGTTACAATTCTTTTTGACACGAAAAAGTAGCTCTTAGGTGTTTTGTTGTTGTTTTGTTTTCACTGTGCAGRGGATAGAACCCAGGGCCCCACAAAGGATTGTAGTTTTGTTTTTTGTTTTTAAATTTTTTAGATGTTGATGGACGTTTATTTTATTCACTTATTTATATGCGGTGCTGAGAACCGAACCCAGTGCCTCATACATGCTAGACAAGCGCTCTACCATTGAGCCATAACCCCAGCCCCAAAGGATTGTAGTTTTAATATTCATTGTATAGACTTTTAGTACAGGTTCAGTTCTTTTAAACTCACATTGTGTTATTCTCTTAGTTTCCAACTTGGAAAACGGGTCAGTATGAGGGTACTACTTTTGTTGGGGAGGATGGTGGGAATTAAACCCAGGGAAGTTTACCAGTGGGTTACATCCCCAGCTCTTTTTTATTTTTTAGAGACAGGGTCTTGCTAAGTTGCTGAGGATCTCTGAAGTCTTGCTGAGGTTTCTGAGGCTGGCTTCCATCCTGTAATTTTCCTGCCTCAGCCTGGAATCACTGGGATTACAGGTGTGTGCCACTGCACCTGGCTAGATGACATTTCTAATTTAAACAAAAAGTTACATCACTCTATGTCTCATATTCAATGTCGCAACTTATTCCTTACCCCTATCATTTTCCCACCAAGTGCCAACATTGGTATGGTGTGTTGAGGCTTTTCTACTTTCYCCAAATCTTTAGGCTTGCTTAAGTTGTTATCTGCTGGTCTTTGAATGTGTGAAGCTCAGCTTTACTGCTCTCTGGGGGAATCCCCACAGCCCACAGTGTCCTTTACACCAGTGATTCTCAAATTCCATTGGCATCAGAATTGCCCAGAGGCTTGACCTAGGATGGGGCAAAGAATCTGTAGTTCATATAATGTGCYGGTGCTGCTGATCTGAGAACCAGACTTTGGAACTACCGCTTTACAGTGAATGTAGATTTTTTTTTTTTTTTTTTTAAGTTGTAGATGACCCAATACCTTTATTTTATTTATTTATTTTTATGTGGTGCTGAGGATTGAACCCAGTTCCTCACATGTTCTAGGCGAGCGCTCTACCACTGATCCATAGCCCCAGCCCTGTGAGTCTAGATCTCACAGGAACCAGCATCATGCTAARACCAGACTGGGTCAGCACATGCTCACAAGTTCGAATGTAAGAAAAGCACCTGGGCTGGGCTTAAACTCAGGTTTTTGCTCCGCTGGGTCAGGCCTCCGGGTGCGTGGTGAACAGTGGACACTAGAGGGCAGCCTCGCGTTCGCCTTTCCAGGGCTGCTTCCGGCCGCGCCGGCGCAGTAGGCTGCGTGCGCGAGGGCGAGAGGCGCTGCGTTTTGCTGGCGTGAGTTCCCGGAAAGTCGGGAAGGAGGCTCTGTTTTGTGCCGGTCCCGCACCTGGCTGGCCAGCGCCTCGGGCCCAGGCTCCGGGTAGACGGGGTCGGACTCAATACAGCCTCGGGCCGCCCGCTCCGAGGTGTGCCTCACCTGCTGGGCTGTACCGGCCCGCATCGCCTTACACCCCGCTGCTGAAGGCCGGAGGACTCCGCCCGTGACAGGCAGACATCAGTCCTTCCATCTGGCGCTTGTTATGTACGGGTTCGTTTCTGCCAGAGCTGTGTGAAGTGAGACCATATGCTGCTTTTCTTTTCTTTTCCTTTTTTTTTAAAAGCAGAATTTAACTACTTAGTAATTTTGTGTTCTCCACCCATTGCCTTTACAATGGAACCCAAACGCTAAGTAAGCATCCAGAATATTTAAAATAGTTAATGTACCTTGTGTTTTACTGGAAAATTGGGTTCTGCTCTACATTGTATTGGTTGACACTAATCTGTCACTTCTAGAATTGTATAAAATGTTCTGTAAATTGGTTAAAATTAAGCTGTGACTCTACAGCAGTGGATCCCATCTGTCACCTCCCCTAATTATCAAGATTTTTATCAGTGACAGAAATCCTTTGTATTTAATTAAATAGTTCCTAAATATTTCCTACCCAACTGACTCCCACATTCCTTATTCCTTAATGTGCAAGGTATTTTTCAGGACCAGTAAATCTTAGTGTTTTGTTTGTTTGTTTGTTTTATTTCTAGGACAAAATTCTTATGCCACACTACCTCATTCTAAGCTCTAGGCAGACTGCTCTAGAAATATACTTTTAAAATTAAAAAGCCAATCAGATATTGAGATGGGCTAAAACCTTCTTTAATAAACTGTCAGTCTCAGTGTCACACACACCCCCATCCCAGAGTGATCATATTGGGTWCAATTCAGTTCAGCCCCTGAACGTTGCAGGGTTTAAAGGAAGAATGTGGGTTTGAGGCCCAAACTTGTATAGTTTAGTGACCTTGGAGAAGTCACTTCACCTTTGAATCAGTTCTTTATCTGTAAGTTAGGAATAACAACACGAATTATATCTACATCACAGAATTGGTTGAAGTTGACACTGTGTAAAAGTCATTTGAATTTTTGGATGAGTGTTTTTGAGGAAGAATTCAGAGTGTGGGGCCTTAGGGATAATTAAAAGGCTATTGATGCATATAAAATACAGAGGCAACGAGAAATGCATTAACAGTGTGCTGAGTAATGTCAAAGGTACAATAGTGATCAGAGATCGAGGGTTATAGAATTTTGTATCTGATGTTGGTAGTTTTTGAGTGTGTCAGCTTTCCATTGCTGTAATAAATACCTGAGTTAAATCAATACAAGAAGAGTACAGATTTAGTTTGGCTCACCATTTTGGAAATTTCAGTCTATCAGGGGTTGGCCCTATTGCTTTGGGCCTGTGGTAAAGGCAGTACATCATGGTGGGAGCAAGTGGTGGAAGAAAGTTCTTTATCTCAATGGCATCCAGGAAGCAAAAAGACACAGGAAAGGACCCAGGGCCAAAATGCCCTCCAAGATTATTTCCCCGAATGACTTAACTTCCTTTCATTAGGCTCTGCCTCTTCAACGTTCGTTGTACCACTTGCAATAGTGCCACAGGCTGGTGACCAACTTGGTCTTTGGGGAACGGGTATCCAAACCATAGAAGAGTGAAAATGAAGAAAGTGTAGAGAGCAAGATACCAGGTGCTAGAGAATGATAAGCAGATGTGAATTTATAGTCTAGATTCTTCATTTGCACAAATCCCTTGCAAGGAGGTCCAGCAGTTCTAAACTCATAATTGTGATTTTTTTTTTATTCTTGTTTTTTATTTTGGGGAAGTACTGAAATCAAACCCAGGGCTTTGTGCATGCTAGGCAAGTGCTTTACCAATGAGCTGCATCTGTAACCCTTTCTTTTTAAATTTTATTTTGAGACAGGATCTTGCTAAGTTGCCCAGGGTGGTCTTGAACTTGGAATCTTTCTGCCTCAACCTCCTGAGTAGCTAGAATTACAGATGTGTGCCACTGACTTACATGATCTTTTCTTATCCTTTCCTTCCCAAAATTATATAAGCTTCAAGCCCCATAAAACCTGAAGCCATCCTTAGTGACAAGGTAGGATCAGTGGAAGGTTACAGATAAAGGAGAACTTGAAGGTTGAAAGAATTAAAAAAATGGAAAGAGGTGGTGGGTAAGAGACATTAGAAGGCAGATACCATAAAGAGACGAAGAACAGAGTTAATGAGCATGAAAACAGGTGGGAGAAAACAGTGAATTCATGAAGATGGTGAAATCAACTGTGATTAGCAGTCATGCTTTCTTATCTAGTGTCTGCTGTGTGCCAGGTGCTGAGGACATGTGGGGAACAGAACAGGCAGACCTCTGTAGAACAGTCTAACAGGAACAGATGAGCCAAACCTGGAGCTGCAGCCCCAAAGGGTGCTTTTGAGCCTGAAGAAAGTTTGAGCTGGAGTGTAGGGCCGGGAAGGGTCTGGAGAGGTGGATAGGGGTTAGAAGGCTGGTGAAGAAACTCAGTTCTAACTACTGAGCTACATCCCCAACCTCTCAGGGAACCTTCTGAAAGTTTGAACTTTTTCCTGAGTGCAAATAGGAGCTGTTGAATGTTTTTAATCCAGAAGAAATTAAATATGTGATTTGGAAGAATCATTATATCTGTCAGAAAGCAACTCTTGCACATATATCTAAGGAGATGTGTTCAAAACTTGTTTCACTAAAACTGCCAGGGCAGGTAGGGACTAGGACTCTGTCTTTAATGATCATTGTGTGACCATCCCCATAGCTCTCGGGAGTTGTTCAAGAGTATAACTCAGCAATGTAGATGTCTATGATATTTAGTATTTCCCAGTATTTAATATATGTATAGCTTTTGAAAAATAAAAAACTTATAGTGTGGTCAAATGATTAAAAATAGTGARCTAGAAGGGACTAGAGTTATAATTCAGTAGTAGAGTGCTTGCCTTACACATGTGAGGCCCTGGGTTTGATCCTCAGCACCACATAAAAATAAATAAAGTAAATATATTTTAAAAATAGTATCCAAAGTACATGTATGAAGACAAAAAAAAATAAAGTTCTTATTATTATTTAAAAAAAATAGTGAACTGGCGAGATTCAGTGGCTCACGCCTGTAATCCCAGCATCTTGTGTGTGTGGGGGGGAAGCAGGAGGATTACAAGTTCAAAGCCAGCCTCAGCAATTTAGCAAGGCCCTAAGCAACTTTGAGACCCTAGCTCAAAAAGGTCTGGGGATGTAAGTTGGTGGTAAAGTGCCCCTGGGTTCAATCCCCAGTACCAAAAAAAGGTGAACTGGCATTTCATGTACATAAATAAATCTCAGAACCATTGTTGAGTTTAAAAAACATCATTAGTTGCAAATGGATAATATAAGTACACAACCACTGTATAAAGCTTGAAAATGTGTTATTGCTTATGGGTTCATACTTGTGAAAATAGAAAGCATGTGAGAGGATTGCATACTCCAGTGGTTTTGAAACGTTAGCATGCGTCCAGATCACCTAGAGGAACTTACTAAAACAGAATTTGTTTCTGTGGTAAATACCTAAGAATTTGCATTTCTCTCAAGTTCCCAGTGAGGTGCTACTACAGACAGGTCCAGGGCCCACAGTTTGAGAATTGCTGATACATACCAATGTGAGGATGGTGACAGCTGCTTGGGATGGAGTGACTCAAACTGGACAGGTTTCAGAGTGGTTTTAAATGTATATTCACTATTTTATTTCTTTYACAAAGTTTGGGCTCAGTTGTAGAATGTGTGCTTAAGCCTCTGAGAGTCCTGGGTTTGTTTCCCAGTATCAAAAACAAAACAAAATATTGGAAACAAATATACATTGTAAATTGGCAATGCCAAATAGATATGCACAGTTTTACTTTTTATTTTTCTCTTGGAACATTTTATTAAAGGAAAAGATCCTATCTGCTGTGTGGAGAATGGATTGGAAAAGAGAAAGAAGGGGGAGACCATGCAGGAAACTCTTGCAGAAGTTCAGGTAAGAGATATTGATGACTTAATACCAGGGCAGAGGTGGCAAGGAAGGGCAAATATGAACAGATTTGAAGAGGTTTGGGTGATAGAATTGGCTATGTGTGCTGATTGGTTGGTTTCAAGTCACCCTGGTCCATGACTTAGTGAGTGGGTAGGTTGTGTGTCCAGAGTAGAAACCCTAGAGAAGGGGCATGGTGAGGACAGGAAAGAGTCTCTGGAGTCAGCTGTTGTCATCCCAGACCTTGAAGAACCTGTTAAGTGAAGTGTTTAGGAGAAAAATCAAGGATGCAATATAGACTTAGAAATCATAAATATTTAGAGAGCCACTGAAGCCACAGATGTGGATGAGATGACCTTGGCCAAAGGAATATCACCTGATGCTGCAATTGGCCAGCTCTGGCCTGTTTTTATATAGCCTAATAGCTAAGAATGCTTTATTTTTTTAAGTATTGTGGGGGTGGTTGGGATCTAATAAGGAATAATATTTCATGATACATGAAAAATATATGAAATTTAGATTCCAGTGTCCATAAATGAATCTAACTGGAACAGAGCCACACACATTTGTTATATTGTTTGGAGCTGTTTTCACACTCTGGTGACAGAGTTGAATAATTGTGACAGAGACAATATAGGACCAGATGTTACCTTGCACCACCTCTCAGTTTACTGCAGATCACAGTGATAGGTTTATTGCTAGACTTTGACTTATAGCTGCTAAGCCTAAATATTTACCAATTGTTACTTTATAAAAAGAAGTTTGCTGCTCCCTGACCTGAGGTCTAAGTTGAGAAACACTTGGTCACTTTAATTATTGTAAAAGAGACTGCAACCATTTTATCTATTTCTTTATGTGTACCTTCCAAGAATCAGCTGTAGAGACTAAGACATTAGTAGTAAAAGTTATAATTTCAATTGAAGATCCTGAAGGTGATATGAGGGAATGGACCAGAGAGAAAGATGTGGGCCTGGAAGCTTTATGAGAAAGGTAAGCAAATGATCATCCTGACCATAGACAGGCACACTTGGGAAGGCTGAGGTAGTGGGGTGAGCAAGCAACTGGCATTATGTCTTGGAGAGGGAAGGTATAGAGTGAAACAGAAGTGGTTCCAGAGTCAGGGTTTCCTGGGCGTCTTTAATGACAGCAAGGCTAAGCAAGCAGCATTTTCCTTTGCCAGTTAAGAAAATATATATATTTATGGGCTAGGGTTGTAGCTCAGTGGTAGAGTGCTTACCTTGCATGCGTGAAGTACTGAGTTTGATCTTCAGCACCAATAAGAATAAATAAAATAAAGATATTGTATCCATCTGCAACTAAAAAATATTTAAAAATTATATATATATATATATATATATATGTGTGTATATATATATATATATATATACACACATATATATATTCAAATTATAGAAGAATAAATTATTTAAAAATTCCCAGATTAGAAAAAGCAGTACTTATGTGCTGGTCCCTCCTACAGCGTCACTGGCTAGGAAATAGAAGGATGGAGTAATCATTCACAGAGCTTGTGAACAGCACAGAAAGAATAGATTAGGGAAAAAGATCAGAAGTACAGTTTGTTATTTTATCTTTTTCAATTGAAACATAATTTAGATACTATAAAAGTTGTTATTTAAAAGTGTACAATTCCTTGATTTTTTTTAAGCACATATTTATAAGATTGTGCACCTATCAYCACTAAATCCAGAATTTTTTATCTAAAATGAAATCCCATGTTAATTAGTAGCCATTCCTCATCTCCTTGCCCCCCAAACTCTGTGCAATCACGTTTCTGTTTTCTGTCTTCATGGAATTGCCTATTCTGGACATTTCATATAAATGAAATCATACAACATGTGGCTTTTTATGTCTGGCCTCTTTTATTGACCATAATGTCTTTAAGGTTCATCCCTGTTCTAGCAGTAATAGTGCTTTATTCCTTTTTATGGCTGGATAATAATCCATTTATGAATGTGATACATTTTRTTTATCCATTTATTAACTAATTGGAGTCATTTCTATTCTTTGTCTGTTATAAATAATGCTACTTGGGCTGGGGTTGTGGCTCAGTGGTAGAATGCTCGCTTCGCATGTGTGAGACCATGGGTTCGATCCTCAGCACCACATAAAACTAAATAACTGAAATAAAGATATTTAAAATAAATAAATGATGCTACTATAAACATTTGTGTACAAATATAAACATTTGATGTATGTTTTCAATTCATATAAGTATATTCTGAGCAATGGAATTATTGGATGATATGATAAATATGTTTGAAATAGAAATGCTGTATTGTGCTAGGCATAGTAGCACAGCTGGGAAGGCTGAGGCAGGAGGATTGCAAGCTCAAAGCCAGCCTCAGCAACTTAGCAATGTTCTAAGTAACTTAGTGAGACCCTGTCTCAAATAAAAAATAAAAAGGGGCTAGGGATATGGCTTAGTGGTTAAGCATCGCTGGGTTCAAGTCCCAGTACCAAAAAAGAAAAAGAAAAAAAAGAAATACTATATTAATCTATATTATTTGCCACAGTGGCTACATTTTACATTCCCACCAGCAACATATGAGGACTACAGTTTTTCTTTAACCTCACAAACATTTCTTATTGCTCGATTTATTTTTATTGTAACCATCCTAGATGTATTTCATAATTCTTTTTTTTTTTTTTGCATTTGCCTTCAAGACAAATGGAATTGAGCATTTTTCATATGCCTGTTGGAAGGTAGATTTTACTTTCTTAAGGACAAGGTACGAAAGAGCTGTCTTCTGGCTGGCTCCTCTCAGGCCTCTGGGCTTGATATGAATGTTATATCTTCAGAAAGGTCTTCTTGGATTCTTCAACTGTTTATTCTCTATCCTTGAATCCTCATCACAGGATAATGATGAATTTTATTTATCTATTTATTATCTGTCTTTCCTGCCTGATTTTTTCATTAATCTCTAAGAGGATAGTAACCATGTCTGTTTAATTCACTCGTGTATTTCAAGTGCTCAGTGCAGAGATGGGCCAGTGGACATTACTTAATATGGTGGAAAAAGCAGATTGGAACCAAATAGAGACTGGTGAGGAAATGTGGGGGTCTGCACCCACATAGGCTGACAGGATTTTGGCGATGCTGGCCAGGTTGTCCAAGGCTTTCCCTGTAGCTCCTGGAGCTTGAAAGTCCAAGAGACATCTGGTCACTAGGAGGGCCTCTAGGAAAGAAGAATGAATCATTTGGACTGCTGTGACTTGTCTGTGTACAGAGTTGCAATTTTTCTTTAACAAACCTCCTTTTTTGGTACTTCATGGAAGAGGACTTTCAAACCAGTCCCTGAGACCAACCAGAACACTGTTTGACACAGACAACTGGATGGAGACCTAGCTGGGAGAAGGAAGATGCTCCTGGAAGGTAAAGTTTCATGTCATAGTTGTATTTGGCACAAGTAGCACACAAGGCAATTCTATCACTAGTATCTCTGGGCATCCCAGTGCCTATATTCAGCTGACACATAGTAATATGGCTTTATCTGTTGTACTGATGGTCCTCTACTCTGCTTCATACATAGCCTTTGCCCCCAGCATCCTGAGTGACAAGCACTCTGCTCATTGTCTTTCCCCAGGCTTGTTCCCCATCTGGACCCCTCCAACACAGACCCTATAGTGGCTCCATTGCTGGAGTCCATCCCTTCTCAGGGTTACTTATTGCCACTGTCACCTGAGTTCTTTTTCTAATCTTACCACCCTTATTCTAGCTCATAAATTTTTGATTGTTATCTCAGATCATTTCCAGGTCCTCCTAACTGGTSTCCAAGCCTCCAAGTACCTTCCAAGGAGCATCCCAGACTCACCTTTCATATCAGCTCTTTGGGAAAACAATTTGATGTTCAGAGTTTGGGGATTGTGGCTGTGGCTCAGTGGTATAGTGGGTACCTGGCACACATGTGGCACTGGGTTCGATCCTCAGCACCATATAAAAATTAAAAAATAAAGATATTGTGTTCATCTACAATTAAAAATATATATAAAATGTTCAGAGTTTGGGCTGGGGGTGTAGCACAGTGGTAGAGTACTCACATAGCATACCCAAGACACTGGGTTCAATCTGTAGAAACACAAATGAAAAAATAAACCATGAACTCCCCCCCCCCTCCCGCCAGGGTTGAAACCTAGGCCTTGCACATGTTAGGTGAGTGCTCTGCCACTGAGTTACAGCTCCACCTTCTCAAGGGCTTTTGAGTACCTTCCAAGGAACATCCCAGTTTCTTAGCTGGGTTCAAGTGGGCCCGACCTACTAACGTACCCCTTTGTCCATCTTCTGCCCCAGCACCACTGCTTTTATTTTACTAAATATTAATGCATATCTACTTAGTGCAAAGTGCTGTAAGACAGAGTCAAAGGCAGACACCTCCCATTCTGCATAATCTAGATGAATCCAAATTTTAATTTAATAAAGAATAATGAGCTGGGCGGCACATGCCTATAATCCCATCAACTTGTGAGGCTGAGGCAGGAGGATTGCAAGTTCAAAACCAGCCTCAGCAACTTAGCAAGAGCCTGTCTCAAAATTTAAAAGGGTCGGGGGTAGGGTTGTGAATTAGAGGTTAAGTGCCCCTGAGTTTAATCCCTGTTGCCAAAAAATTTAGAAAAAGAATAATGATTATGGGGGTGCGGGAAAAGCTGAAATTGAGTGGTTAATATAAGCCTAATGTTCAGTTCCTCTCTTGCTCCTCATGTGACTCCAAAACTTATAGGACCTACGAGTGGGGAGGCATGAGAGGGTGTAGCTACGTTCAGGCCAGTGTCATCAAAATGCTTCATGGAAATTAATTATAGCTGAAAGTGTTATTGCTTCTTGTCTCTTGTTATATTGCAGGAACTGATACAGGATAACAACATGGAAAGGAAAGCCCAGGAGAGCAGGAAAGGTCTGACCCACAGAGAAGTCCCTCGTGTTGTTGGGCTGCTGCTCGCCATGGCCCTTATGAATGTGGTCCTTTACCTCTGCTTCGACCGATTTTTCATATCCCCTCAACATTCCACCAAGGACCCTAGATCTTGTCCATATGGTTACTTCAAAATGGGGCAGATGAAAAACTGTTCACCCTGGCTGTCCTGTGAGGAGCTGAGGACAGAAGTGAGACAGTTGAAGCGTGTTGGGGAAGGAGCCGTGAAGAGAGTGAGTACATGGTTTTCTTCTGCATTATCACTTGTGTCAGCTCTTTTGGAAAACAATTTGGCTTTCTGGGCTAAGACCCATAAAAGGAAGTGGATGTAGTGGCACCTGCCTCTAGTCCTAGCACTTGGAAGGTTGAGTCAGAAGGATCACTTAAGCTCAGGAGTTTGAGGCTAGTCTGGGCCACATAGGAGATCCTGTCTTAAAGATCCATAAAGGCTCTTTATATCTGTCTTTGAGCCCAATAATCTCATATCTGGGATTTTAATTTTAAAAGAGGAAAAGAATCTGAAGGAAGGAAAAAAGCTAAATGCATAAAGGAGTACTATACTAGTGGAAAACTAGGACCAACAATTTTAGGAGAACAATTAGTTAAATTATGGTCCAACCACTTGTTGGAATATTCTATAGCTATTTAAATGTAGTTAGGATTACTCATGTAGCAACAGGAAGAAAATCTTAAGAAATTAGAATAAATTTTTAAAAAATCATTTCAGTAATGAAAAAAGAAAAAGAAAATAAGTTAAAAAAAGGAAGATTTAGAATTGTGTAGTGTGTTATTTTCAACTGCAAAATTAAATATTTTTGTGGAAAAATGCAAAAGTGGCAGAAATTGTGTAAGACAAAGGGGGAATTATGAGCAGTTTTTTCTTGATTTTTAAACCATGATGGTATTACTGATTTTTTTAAAGTTATAGTTAAGACACAATACCTTTATTTTGTTTATTTTTATGTGATGCTGAGGATCGAACCCAGGGCCTCGCACGTGCTAGTCGAGCGCTCTACGGTTGAGCCACAACTCCAGCTTGGTATTATTGATTTTTAAAATTTTCTTTTATTTGAAAAGAGACATCAAGGAGTCAATTCAGTTTTCATATAGAAACTCCAAGATCTTTGTCCCATTGATAACCAGTGTACGCTACACTCTATATGGTTGTCATTTCTGTGGAAGCTGAGTCTACCAGTACGCAGTCAGTGGCTTTAGAAGACAATTAAAGATTGTTGAACGAAGAAAGGTTCTTTGTGAATTTGCAWCAGGCAAAGGCAGGGAGAGATCAGGAAATGCACCTACAAAGCTGCAGTTTGATAAATGGCTAATGAGGATGCCATGGTTTCCTCCTGAATATAGATGGAGGCATCTTAAAGGAAGAAATTAGGGAGAAGGGGAAGGAATTTGTAGAAAGTACTTTATTCATTGTAGGTGCCATGGGTAGAGTGGTGAAGGAAACAAAGACACTGATTTCTTTTTTAGTTGGAAAGTCAGATACTAAGAAAAATAAGAAAGTTACATTATGATGTGTTAAGAAGACAAAACAGGCAAAGAAATGATGTGCTTGTCATTCTAGGTCTTTAGGAGAGGACATTGGCCAGAGCAGTGGGAGACCATGATGAGAGTGTGGGCATCTAGGGAAGAGGCCCCATTCCTCTGTGCAGGGAACATTCCTGGTTGTTCAAGGAGCAGGAAGGAACCTAGTGTGACCAGAGAGCAGGAAGAGAAAAAGAGGTCTGTGAGGTCTGAGAAGGGTCAAATTGGGAGCCAGGTTATGCCAGGCCTCACAGAACTTTGAGAACCACTGGAAAAATTTTAGTAGAGAAATTTATTTTGTAAAGGGATTATCTTAGCTACTATGTGAAGAGTGGATGAAAGGTGGCAAAGGTGGAAGACTGGTTAGGCTTTTTTGCATGTGAGGGATGGTTATGGCTTAACAAGAGTGTTAGTAACAGAAATAGAAATCAGTGGATTCTGGACATATTTTCAAGGTATTAACAATAGGGATTTTCTAATTGACTGGATGTGGGGTATGAGAGAATGAAGAGATTCTAAGTGTCTGAGATGGACATATTAATTCGGGTGTGAGACATCCAGGTGGGGGTGTGGGCAGTTAGATGTGCAAGCCCAGCATTATGGATGAGGTCTGAGAGAATATAAATTTGAGACTCAATATTATTTATATGCATTTGAAAGTATTAGAATGTGGAAAAAATCACCAAAGAAGGGATATAGATAGAAAAGAGGACATAAAACCAGCTCATTTCTATCTTCTTCAAAGAGATGTCCTTGAAAGCTGTACAGTGGTGTATGCTTGTAATCCCAGTTACTTGGGATGTTGAGACAGGGGCATCACAAGTTTGAGGCCAGCCCCTGCAGCTTAAGAAGATTCTGTCACAAAATGGATGTAGCTCAGTGGTAGAGTGCTAGCATGCATGAGGCCATGGGTTCATCCCCAGTACTGGAGGGAAAATGTACATACTAAGAGGTGACCTTGAATGTGTTGTGTCTGTGGTTGTAATTGTTCAGAGCATTTTTGGAATTTGTTGGAATTGCTTCTTTCCTTCCAGGGAATATGATTTTGATGATGGCAAGTTATTATCATTTGTAGATAGACAGATTTAATTTTAGGGAGCCACAAATCATGTTCATCCAAATATGAAATTTAGTAGTATGGCTAATAAGCCTAAGCACTAGCATTTTATTAAAGTGAAATGTGACTATCCAGGCATGGTGGCACACCCCTGTAATCCCAGCTACTCAGGAGGCTGAGGCAGGAAGATTGTAACTTAAAAGCTAACTTTATTTTGACCTTGTTTCAAAATAAAAGTAAAGTGTAAACAAAATGCCATTATATTCTTTTGTTGGATTTTTCTTTAGCTGACACTTCCCTCCCTCAGGACAAAATATTTTGAACACTTGGGTATTAATAGTGTTGGTCAGGAGCCTTGTCTGCCTTCTCCCCTGTCAGAGCCTCAGGATCTGTGCAGTTTGGCACAGAGGAGAGTATCAGTATCCTGAATATAGTCACTTATTGGAATAGCTGTGGGTAACTCAATTCCATTCCATCTCAATGCCCCACCTCCTCTCCATATGGAAGGAACAGGTTTTTCAGTAGGAATTTCTTTCTTTTTTTACAGTCTACAGGTTGAATCCAGGGCCTCATGCATGCTAGGCAAGTGCTTTATGACTGAACTACATCTCAATCTCATCCCCTTCAGTGGGATTTCTAAAGTCAAAATTCTTGACATTTTATTCTGACCTCCACCTCCTCTTCTAACTCTTTTGATCCATCAGTTCCTCAATTCCATGGAGAATTTCAGAATATCCATCTCATGCTTTTTACTTTATGACACCCCTCCTGTCTCTACCTCCTGATTCCCCTAGCAGAGATTCCACGGGTTTTTATTTTCATCATTCTTTTACAAAGCGTTGGAACAACTCCATTACATCTGTCTCTATCATGCCTGGCTGCTCTTGAAACCCAACTCTGCTCTTGGACTTGAGCAACTATACTGGAGTAAGAGAGAAATCCCTCAATCACGTAATTTAAATGCACCATGACAAACTTCAGGTAAGCACAGAGAACTATCCTTGGAAATTTCATTTCCAATCTCTGAGAAGTTTTTCCTCAAACATTCCCATCCTTTGTCTTATCCAATGATCTTGTTTTATGAGATATGAAAGCAGAAACCATCCAAAGGGAATATCTTCATTCTACTTCCACCAGATCTATAAACCAGCAGCTCAGCTCTCATTCTTAATTCCCAAGGTTCCAGGTAATTTAAGTGATTCCCTGCATTGTCAGCCTTCCCACTCTGAACATCATTACTATTGGTATACAAACATACTCTCTTTAAAAAACAAAGTCCTGTTCCCTTGATTCCCCAGCCCTCTGTAGCTCCTGTCCTTTCTCTACTTCCATCATAGAAAGCTGCTCTAACTCTATTTCCACCTTCCTTGCTCTCACTCTTTCATCCTCTTCCAGTGTGTCTTCAAAACACCAGCACTCTAGGGAAACTTCTCTTATTGAGGGACCAGGTCGTGTCAGTTCTATTTTCAGAATATGTCCCAGTGTGCTCAACAGAATCTGTCCACAGACTCCCCTCTTGCCATCTAACAGTCTCCCTGCTTACGMTTTTGCCGACTACTATATACAGTTGTCTTCTAGACATATTGGATCATGCCATTTTTCTTCCTTAAAACCCATTTGGTGGCTTCCTGTTGTCCCTTGGGGAAAAAAAAATTAACCTTTTAATTATCCCTCTTGCTCCACCCTCCCTGCTGTGGATCCTTCCTCCCTCCCAGAACTCTTACCAGGATTCTCACTCCTTGTCTTGTAGTCTTTCCTTTGTTCCTTGTTTAAACCAAGTCCTTTCTTATGGGTCTTTCTCTGCCTGAAGCTCTGCCACTCCCCAGCCCAGTACTGGAGATAGGCATTGGACTCAGTGATGCTCTGCCAGTGAGTCACATCCCCACCCTTTCTACTTTGAGAGGGGTTCTTAATAAGCTGCCCAAGCTGGCCTCAAATTTGTGATCTTCCTGCCTTAGCCTCCCGAGTAGCTGGGATTAGAGATGTGTGCCACCACTCCCAGAGTTCTGTTACTTTTCTAACAGGAATTCCCTCCCTGATGGCCCTAAGTCCCACCCTTACCATATATTCTCGTTCTCATTTATCTTGTTTTTTGTTTGTGTCTCTTATAAATGTGTAAGTCCCCTGAGAGCACAGAAGGTGGGTCCAGAGCATCTAGCCATACCTTATTGTATCTAGGACACACTTTGGGGGCCAGAGCACAAAACCTCTTTAATTGAATTCTCGGTACATAAAATATTGATTTAATCTCAGATAGTTTCCTCAATATATACAAACTGTGCCACTCCCTTGTCTTCCCCAGACTTTTTTTTTTTTTTTTTTTGCTTGTTTTTGTAATGGCCAGGGGCATTATATCCTCTACCTATAGCAATTTGTAGCTTTGCCCGTAAACTATAGTAACCTGTTTATGGTAGGCAGGTTGGCCTATTGCTTTTTCTTTATTCCTTTTTTTTCTTAATTATAAAAGCAGTATATTCAAGTATTTATTAGGAGACAAAGTAGAAAGTTAAAGTTTCCTTTTCCTTCCTCTTGCTCTCTCTGTCCTCAGTCTTATTCCCTAGGAATAACAGTTGGGGGTTCATCCATTTTGGGTTTTTAAACCTAAGATTACATTGAAAGACCCAAGCTGGGTGTGATGGTGCATGCTTATAATCTCAGCTACCTGGGAGCCTGAGGCAGGAGGATCACAAGTTTGAGGCTAGCCTGGGTAACTTAGACCCTGTCTCAAAATAAAAAATGAAAAGGACTGATGTAGCTCAGTGGTAGAACACCCCTGGGTTCAATACCTAGTGCCACAACAAACAAACAAACAAAAACAAGAAGGGTCTCTGCTTTCATGGCCCCTGTACTCCCTTCAGTCTGTTAAAACAATAGGCCAGATTATTAAATTATAAGTCAAATATGGGTTGTTTTTTCCCCCTTAAAATCCTCCAGTGAATTACTTTCTCACTCTGAAAAAGTAAGAGTCCAAAGTCCCCTCCTTTTTTTTTTTTTTTTTGGTTTGCTACTGGTGATTTTAAACAGAGGGGTATTTTACCACTGTGCCATATCCCCATCCCTTTTTATTTTTTATTTTGAGACAGGGTCTTGCTAAGTTGCTGAGGCTGGCCTTGTACTTGGCAGTCCTCCTGCCTCAGCCTCCCAAATTGGTGGGATCACAGGTGTGTGCCACCCCATCTGGCAAAGTTCTTTCAGTAAAGCCTTACAATATCTGCTCCCTTTCACTAAACTTTTACCTACTCCTTTATGCCTTGCCCTTCCCACTCTAGCAGCCTAGCCTTTCTGTGCTGAGAGTCTGTGGCTATACTTCCCTACAGGACATCTGGCCCTGATGTTTTCTGCCTAGGATGAAGTTTTTCTCTATATCAAAATGGCCCATTCCCTTATCTCTTTCAATTTGTTGCTCAGACACCCCAGCAAGACCTTCCCAAGCCCTATTTTAAAATTGCAAACACTTCCCTGTTTTATTCTAAAACACATTTCACCTGATAATATACTTTATATGTTTCCTATTTATTTTATTGCCTACTTCCTGTAGTAGAATGTAAATTTTATCATTGCAGTTATGTCAGTGTTTTTCCAGCAGTGCTGGGGTCCGAACCCAGGGCCCCCACATGCTAGGCATGCTAGGTTCTACCACTGAGCTAGATAGAACCCCAGTTTTTTTTTTTCTTTGACATAAATTCTCCCTCCCCCCCTCCCATTTCCTTCCTGGGGATTGAACTCAGAGGTACTCTTTACCACTAGCTACATCTCCAGACCTTTCTGGTTTTATTTTTAAACTTAAAGACGGAGTCTCACTAAGTTGCTAAGGGTATCCCTAAGTTGCTAAGCCTGGCTTTGAACTTGTGATYCTCCTGACTCAGCCTCCCAAGTCATTGGGATTATATGTGTGTGCCACCTCACCTGGTTGACATAAATTATTGTTAAATGAACGAAGACACATTTGACTACAGTTAAATTCTTTGCTTTATGAAAAGACTACATGACCTATGTTCTATATCTTTTACATTTATATTAAAGGATCACATGGGTGATATAAGAAGTTCCTAGTAATAAATAAGGGACAGGCAAATAGCCCTATAGAAAAATTGAATGAAGGACAATGACCAGACTTTTTATAGTAAATAAATAGAAATGCTAATACAGATGAAAAATGCTCCCAGGCACCATGGCACCTATCTGTAATCTCAGCAACTTGAGAGGCTAAGGCAGAATGATCACAAGTTGGAGGATAATTTAAACACCTGGAGGGTTTCCTGTGGATCATGAGAATGAAAGCAGATGTACATGAAAGTGTTTATAAACTTTAAGATGCTGCATCCATGTTAGTTATGTTAGGTGGATTCATGCGCAGAGTGGGTGTTTTTGGAACCTATATCTGTCAACTCAGCAAGATCCCCTCTCAACCAAAAAAACAAAAAGGGCAGAAGATGTAGCTTTGTGGTAGAGTGCCCCTGGGTTCAATCCCCAGTACTGAGTAAAGAGAGAGAGAGAGAGAGAGAGAGAGAGAGAGAGAGAGGGAGAGGGGGAGGGAGGGAGGGAGAGAGGGAGAGAAAGAAAATATTTTTCTGTAGTTGATTTTTTTATACCAAGAAGACTATTTATGATTAGTTTTACAATTAAATAAAAGATGAACACATTGCTGTTGTCTCCAAATATAATTGTTTTAGAAAGTGATAAAAAATAACTAGAGATTGCTAGGAAATGATTCGTAAAATCCATGATTTGCAGATTTAAATTTTTTTAATTTATTCTTTTTAGTTACATATAATTATAGAATGTATTTTGGCAAATGATTTGCATATTTTTAACACTAGAGGTTTTAGATATCTGTGAGTCATCCCAAAGACTAATAATATTTATTAACAAATAACTTTAATTTATCTGAGGCACAAAAATGAATATGACATAATTGAGGATTCAGGAGGAAATCAGTTGGGGCCCGGTCTGCCTCTTCCATGATTTATTGTTGAACATAAGGTAGCACCTTCCTTAAGGTGAAAATTGTTTTTGTATGAAAATGGGCCTTGAAAACCAAAACCAAGCCAGGCACAATGGCACATGCCTGTAATCCCTGTTACTTGGGAGAATGAGTAGCAGGAAACCAAATTCAGGATCAGCCTASGTAACTTAGTGAGATCCTGTCTCAGGAAAAAAAAAAAAAAAAAGGCAAGAGGATTTAGCTCAGTGTTAAAAGTGTTTGCATAGTATGTGGGAGGCTCTGGGTTTCATCCCAGTACTACAAAACAAAAAAATAAAACAACCAAACAATAATAACAACAACAACAACAAAACCTACCAAAGCCATCTGTCAGCACTAGTCATGACCATGCACAATAGGTCCAAAGAAGTGATGGATCTTAGCCAGGCAAGTGCAGGCCTGTAATCCCAGCAGCTCGGGAGGCTAAGGCAGGAGAATTATGAATTCAAAGCCAGACTCAGTGACCTAGTGAGGCCCTAAGTTAACTCAATGAGACCCTGTCTCTAAATAAAATATAAAAAAGGCTAGGGATGTGGCTCAGTGTTTAAGTGCCCCTGGGTTCAATCCCTGGTACCAAAAAGAAAATTAAAAAAAAAAAAAGAAAGAAAAAAAAGTGATGGATCTTAACAAAGTATTATTTTTATTTTTTTATTAGAGTCAGAATATCAAATTCAGTGGTAATACAAATCTATGGAGTATGTTTATTTGAAAATTTTATAAATTCATCAAAGTTTTACTGAATGTAGCAGCCAGAGTAAAAATGGCTTTTTCCCCCCAAAAGATCCATAGTGAAATTTCTTGGTTATGGGGGTTTGAGGTCTTGAAAGATTTCTCTTTTGAAGGTGAAGGGTTAGGTTTTTTTTCCCATTAAAAACCCTCTCTTCTTAAATCCAAAAGAAATATTTGAGATCCTTTAGTCCACTTCCATTTTATGTAGTGTTTCTGAGTCTTAATCTTTTGAATTATAGAAGTAATGTATGCTTGTCTTGAAAGAATTGGAAAATACCAAAAGATATAAAGTACAAAAAGCACCCTTTGTGCTACAGTAAGTTGGAACTGGCAGGCAGTTGGCTGCCCAGGTCTTTACACAGGCAGCCTCTCCTCCTGGGCCTTGCATTCCCCTTTTCCAACATCTGTGCTGCAAGTCCTGACCATCCTCTAAGACCAACTTCCAGGAACCTTCCAGAGTCATCTCCAGCTGGCTCTCACATCCAGACCACAGTCAGTCCCTCCTGCTGAAATTTTATGCACTAATTTGTTGTTCACCTTCTTGCATGTTATATGTTTGTTCATAGTGAGTCTTTACAACTAGACAAAGTGCAACTCTAGAACTGCAARGACTGGGTTCTTGTCTCATTCATTTGTCTTCTATGCCACACCTGTTAAACAGAAAGTATTTTTCTTTCTTGTCTCACTTTAGGTGGAGGGGTTAGGTTTGATGTTCTTCTGGCTTTGTTTCAGGTCTTTCTGTCTGAGTGGAAGGAACGCAAAGTTGCGCTCTCACGGCTCACCAGTCTGGAAATGAGAGATGATTTCCTCTATGGACTACAGATGCTGAAATCTCTACAAAGCAAACACATTGTCACACTGCTTGGCTATTGTGAGGAAGACAACACTATTCTTACTGAATATCACCCCTTAGGTTCCTTGAGCAACCTGGAAGAAACACTAAACCTTTCAAAGTACCAGAATGTGAATACATGGCAGCACAGGCTGCAGCTGGCCATGGATTATGTTGGTGTCATTAACTACCTGCACCACAGCCCCCTGGGCACGCTGGTCATGTGTGACTCTAATGACCTGCCCAAGACACTGTCTCAGTATCTGCTAACAAGTAACTTCAGCATTGTGGCAAATGATTTAGATGCCTTACCCCTGGTGAACCACAGCTCTGGGACATTTGTGAAATGTGGCCACAGGGAGCTTCATGGGGATTTTATAGCTCCTGAGCAATTATGGCCTTATGGAGAGGACATACCTTTTCATGATGATCTCATGCCCTCATATGATGAGAAGATTGATATCTGGAAGATTCCAGATGTTTCCAGTTTCCTTTTGGGGCACGTTGAGGGTAGTGATATGGTTCGATTCCATTTGTTTGATATTCATAAGGCCTGTAAGAGCCAGAATCCTGCAGAAAGACCCACTGCTCAGGATATTCTGGATACTTATCAGAAGGTTTTGAATTTACTCAGAGATACTGTGATGTCTCAGACAAGAGAAATGTTATAAAAATCAGTGCAGCCATTGAAGGGTGGGGTTTGAGGACCGAATGGAAGTTATAGCAGTTCTACTCTGATGGTGGTTTTTTGTGTAAGCCCTATGGTTTTTTGTTTGTTTTGTTTTTTTATTCAGCTATGTGGCTTTTTTTCTATGTCCACTTGGCCTTTTTGGGTTTTTTTTTGGTCATTTTTTTCTGTGGTACCTGGGAATGAACCCATGGCCTCACACATGGTAGGCAAGCACTCTACCACTGAGCTACATCCCCAGCTCTTTTTAGTGTTTGAGACAGGGTCTCAGTTAATTGCTGAGGCTGGCCTTGAACTTGAGATCCTCCTGCCTCCGCCTCTGGAGTAGCTGGAATTATAGGTGTGCACATCAGTGCCTGGCTTCATCTGTACCTCTCCTGGCAACTGGATGGAGGTTTTAATTAAGAGCAAACTGGGTCTGATTTAAAGCTGGCTTCATCTTTCTGAGGCCATTTGCTTCCTGGCTGAGATGCAGAAAAATAGTGATCTACTCATATTTGAAGGAAGTAATAAAAGTGTAGCTATAAAGAGGTTCTGTTGCCCCTAATAACTGAATTTATGAGCTTATGAGAAATATATAGGCAGAAGATTTTTAACTGGCAGTATATGAAAAAGACAGTGATTCTTCAAATAATGGTTTCTCTATATAGTTTAAAAAATGGCATTGAAGAAAAAATGTTTATAGCAGCACAATTCACAATATCTAAATTATGGAATCAACCCAGATGCCCATCAATAGACGAATGGATTAAGAAATTATGGTATATATGTATATACAATGGAGTTCTACTCAGCCATTAAAAAAATGTAATTATGGCATTTGCCAGTAAATGGATGGAAATGGAGAATATCATGCTAAGTTAACTAGCCAAACTCAGAAACTTAAGGTCAAATGTTTTCTTTCATTTATGGAATCTAGAGTAAAATAAAGGAAAGGGGAGGGAAGGATAAGAGTACATAAAGAACCAGTCAAATACAAATTAATAGATGAGTGAAAGGAAGTCCAGTAGAAGGAGAAGGGGAGAGGGTAGGGAAAAGGGGAAGAGAAAAGGGAGGATCATGAACTGAAATCAATTTCCATGATGTATGAGTTTGTCAGGTCTTTATAGTTATACTATGTATAGCCATAAAGCTTTAACTTTAAAAAAAAAAAAAAAGAAAAGAATTTAAAAATGGCATTGAGGGTTAGGGGTATAGCTCAGTGGCAGAGCACATGCCTAGCATTTGTGAAGTCCTGGGGTTGATCCCCAGCACCAAAAAAAAAAAAGGATTTAACATATGGGGTATCCAGAGTGTTTGTGGTCTGTTCACATGGCATTAATGTGAATCATTTAAATCACTGATTTAAATGATTTCTCTATGAAGCTTCTTGTGTTACCCCTTTCCAATGAGATTTTGTTTGTTTGTGTTTTCGTACCAGGGATTGAATACAGCTTAACCACTGACCACATCTCCAACCTTTTTTTTTTTTTTTAATATTTTATTTTGAGACAGGGTCTTGCTAAGTTACTTAGGGCCTCACCAAGTAGCTGAGGCTGATTTTGAACTCAAGATCCTCCTGCCTCAGCCTCCTGAGCTGCTGGGATTACAGTTGTGTGCCACTGCACCTGGCTCCAATGAGTTTCTTAAAAAAGAACTGTTACAGCATACTCTTTGTAATTTGGAATGGATAAAAATATTTAGAAAAGAAAATTGAGGCAAACAATAGCTATGTTACTGGGCTTTAAAAGGTACTTTTAAGTTCCTATTTATTGGGTTTTCCACGTCCAAAATTTGTGGTGAGCATTTTACATCAGCAAGTGTTCCTCATTACCGCACAGTATCAAGCCATCCCACTTGGGTTGCATGGCTGAATCCTTCAAAAAGTTCTTTCCTATGACACTATCAGCCTCATTYGTAGGGGTTGAGGATTTGGTGTGTATTAATGATCACTAACAAGATGGCTAAAGCTGGTGTTCAGAATCGTAGATGTTCTGCATTAGACTCTGCCTTCACCTGACTCAAGCAGGCATCAGAATCACCGGAAGGCACAAGCTGGGTCCCCATAGCTTCTGACTCATTAGGTTTGAGCATTCATAACTGGTTCCCAGTAAAGCTCAAGGTGCTGGTCTGGGGRCTACATTTTGAGAAGCCCTACCCTGAGCTGTCAAGGAGGCACCACAGAGTAGGATAGCAGTATTATCAACATTGTTCCCTATTGCTGGTGGATTGGCCTGTGCTTGGTGAGAGAATATGCTTGCCCACATTCTCTGATGTCACTCTGAAGCTCAGTGGGCACTCCCTTCACCCTGGATTTATTTTGTTATAATAACTCCATTGTTGGGATAATATCAAGTATTGGTGAGGATATGAAGAAACTAGAGTCCTCATAATGTTGCTCATGGGACAAGAGCATGGTACAGGATCTTGGGAAAATAGTCTAGTAGTTCCACAAAAAGTTTAAAATACAGTTACCACATGACCTAGCATGGTTGTACCACATGTATACCCAAGTGATATATACATCCACACAAAAGGCACATGTCAACATTGTCCATAGATATTCATAGTGCAATTATTCACATGATAAAAGGTAATAAAAACCCAAATGTCCATTAGTCAATGAATAAACAAAATATAGTATATCCATACAATGGATTATTATTCAGCCTTAATGAAGTTCTGGGCATGGTGGCACATTCCTATACTTCTAGCTACTTGGGACTGAGGCAGGAGAATTGCAAATGTAAGGTCAGCTTGGTAAATTAGTGAAACATTGTCTCAAAAATTTAAAATCTAAGAAAGGTCTAGTGATATAACTGAGTGGTACAGTGCCCCTGGGTTCAATCCCCAGTACTACAAAACAAAAATAAAAGGAATGAAGTTCTAATGCATGCTATAATATGGATGGACCTTGAAAACATTGTAAGTGAAGGAAGTTACTCACAAAAGACTGCCTATCATGATTCTATTTATATGAAATGTCCAAAATAGGAAAATCCATAGAAACAGTATTTTCTAGAGGGTAGTAGGGAGTTGGGGTGGAAGAATGACTTATACCAGGTACAGAGTTTTTTGGTAGTGATGAAAATGCTCTGAAATTACATAGTAGTGATGTTTGTACAACTCTGAATATATGAAGTACCACTKAATTGTTTTTTAAGAAAGGGCAAATTTTATGGTATGTGAATTATGTCTCAATAAAAATTATTTTAAAAATAGTTTCCACAGTGCTGTGTATGTATACTTTAGAAGCCTTTCACTTGATGTAGGCTGGTAATATGTGGAATTAATTATTTGCTCTTACCCTATTCATGTTGTATTTTCATTTGAGGGCTTTTTTTTTTAGCATTTTGGTGAAAAACTGTCAGTTTTAAACTAATTTGTTTTTAATAGGACAGTAAAGCTGAAATAAACATCATGGTTCAAGAGAAAAAACATTGTACTAGGATTAGAGGATCTAAGTTATCCTAGCTCTGATCTCCAACAACTCAGACACATCCGATCTCTGTCATGAAAATTTGGAAGTAATTTGTGCTTTTCTTTCCCAAGTTTCTCTGATGCTTTATGATGCCACAGCCAGACAGGGCCATTGCCTGTCATGGTTCAATCTTCAGTTTGGGTTTGGACACAATTAATTATCAACAGAACTGCAAAAATCAAAAGAGGAAGTCRTCATCTAACTAAAACCTTGATGGGGAATTCAGTGTTATGTGGCTTGCTCAATGGAAGTTCAGTGGAAGTATCAGAAGAAATAGATGAGGGGAGCCATTCTCAAAGCACAAACAAGTATCCAGTACTCTCCCTGCTTACCTCATTCCACGTGATTAAAAAAAAGATTGCTGGACATGGTGGTGCACACCAGTAATCCCAGCAGTTTGGGAGGCTGAGGCAGGAGGATTGTGAGTTCAAAGCCAGCCTCAGCAAAAGTGAGGTGCTAAGCAACTCAGGGAGACCCTGTCTCTAAATAAAATACAAAATAGGGCTGGGACTGTGGTTCAGTGGTTGAGTGCCACTGAGATCAGTTCC